TAGCAAACCGACCTTGACGATTTCCTCTGTCATTTTGATAACGATAAAAGAGATGTAGATGGTCGTCACTTCAGTGACAGATAAACAATTGTGATCTATCAGAAAGTAGTTTTTTGCAAACGTTTTAGAAAATATGTGGGGATCAAATAGGATCTTACAAGTTTCAACTCACCTTTGGACTCGCTGCATTTTTGTATAGTCAAGCCGACGGCGAGGCCGACCACAATGGCCAGCACGGCTCCGCTAGCCACCACCCCGATCAGCAGGCTCCGGTACCTCAGCTGCAGGGCATTCAGTTTCTTCTCGTCTGCCATTCTTTAGATTTGCCTGAAAATGATGTGTGGTTTTAAAACGGTGGAAAATATTTTGTACGTTAAACCATTGACAACATCTTTAAAGATAAGTATTAAGAAATTAAAGTTTAACACTAGACTTCACGTGGGTTGCACCTAGTTAAGCTGCAATCCGGTCTTGTAAGCTTTAGCCCCACCTACAACGGTCGCGACCAGGCTACAACGTTAACCGTAGCTATAGATTTCAAATATATGTGCACAATTTAATCAGGCTAGGCTTCTACGTTCTTTGACATTGTATCTCATATTCTGAACAATCGCTGTTAAGGTGTTCCGTTCCCATGCACCTCGAAAATAAAATCACGTTGTTTGATTGCGCATTGCATTTGTCGAAGTTTCACTTTCGCGCTGACCCTTTTCATAAATGAAAGTAGTGTCAGGGGAATCCCCGCCTTGGTTTCACTTTCTTCACAGATTACCTCATCGAAAGTACGTCATTTAGAGAAAGTGAAAGAGCATTGCGCAGCAGAGAAAAGCTCACCCGACGAGTCTAGGAGTTCTGGGGCATTTTCAGCAGCAATACGGCCCCTGTCCAGGCTACCCAGAAATGTGCGGGTCAAGTTTAGGATTTTCGTTGCTTGCGTCAGCTATCATTCTTTCCGTTTACAACGCAAAGGGACATTTATCCATACTAGTGCCTACTGACAGAGCAGTCACAGTCACACAGAGTATAGACTTCTTCAATTGTCTCTCATTTTGCATCATTACAGTGCTATTATTAGTAAAATGCACGGCACGACTTCGAAACTACTCATAACACAGCTTAGATCACGATTCTAACCTCATCCTTACGCCTGTTTCCTTAAGCCTCGGTTACAACCCGCCGTGCGTGCTTTTAGTCTGTACGTTTTATTGGGAGGCCACGTCTGCTACGTTTTTCTGAAAACATGGGGAAGGAGTGGCGTTTACGCACGTCACTCGCACGGTTGCGCAAGGTGTAAGAGTGTGGTCTGCACGCCACGTCTCGCCGTGAGCGGTTGCGTACATCGTTCGTCGCGCAAGTGGTAAGTGAGTTGTACGTGCTTATAACGTGTGATTTCTGTGCGATTGCAAAGTTTTCCGTAAGGAGGCCGTACTCACATGTGCTTCTTACGTACTCATGCACCTCGAAAATAAATCACACTCTTTGATTGCGCAGTGCATTTGTCGAAGTTTCACTTTAAATAAAATTTGCGCGAACCCTTTCAGATATTTGCATAAATGAAAGTAGTGTCAGGAGAATCCCCGCATTGGTTTCACTTTCTTCACAGATTACCTCATCGGAAAGTACGTCATTTAGAGAAAGTGAAAGAGCATTGCGCAGCAGGTAAAAGCTCACCCGACGAGGGCATTTTCAGCAGAAATACGGCCCCTGTCCTATCGGTCACCGCGCAAAATTTTGCCGGTAAAATTAAGTATAATGCCAATTTCTTTTCTGTTAGGAGAGCATCTGGGGACAAGGGACATGTAACTCAACTTTCGGTAGATAACTATAAAGTGTAGACCCTTATATCGATATATACGGCCGAAACTCTCGTATTGCTATTAAAGTTGAGGCCAGCGTGAAAATCTAGGCCGGCGGACGGTGGGGAGGGGGTGCGTTAGGAACCAGGTATCGCTCTCCTGCGCGCGCAAGAGCTGTTCTTACGCTTACTAGCCTCTACCAGGCTTCGGGAGACGGCTGGAAAGAGTAGAAATCGGTCAAATAGAGAGATAACATGCCGAGGGAGTTGGTCTGCTAGAGAGAACATTTTGCCGCGAATTTTTTCTTACAGCAGGGTAGACCGCCGTAGACTCTCCGGTAGACTCCCCGGTGCTGAGAATACATAATGCTAGCCCGTCCAAGCCCATGTGCGCATGCCAGAGGCTTTTCACGGGGTCTGTTTCAATCAGTTAATAAATCGCCTACAAAATGTCAATCATTAGAAAGACTGACCATGGATGGAAAGATAGCATGCCAGGAAAGGCCCATGCTTAGTAGGACTGGCCCGGTACGCGTAACACCCATAAGCGGCCGGCCGGTGGAGAATGGTAACCGGGCTAACCAGAAATGTGCGGGTCAAGTTTAGGGCTTTCTTTGCTTGCTTATAATTAAGTCAGGTAGCATTCTTTCCGTTTAGAATGCAAAGGAACATCTCATCCAGCCTGTTGACAGTGCTATTAGTAAAATGCACGGCACGACTTCGAAACTACTCAGAGCACAGCTCAGATTGCGATTCAAACTTCGTCCTTACACGCATACGCTTGTTTCCTTACTCTCGTCACGTATGGCTTTCAAAAGGTCGTCCCCTGCAAAGTGATTACCACGATGACCTGAGTTGGACATTGGTAAAAAGTTTCATACATCATAGTTACGCCCCTTGTGTCCGATGAGAACCAAAAACTTTCATGCGCGCCGCTTAGTTAGCTAGTACAGTCCAAAATCACATTAGTGCACAAAATACCGTAAACATGAAGATCAAAATAGACGAAACAATCATATCTGAATTCTGTGGGAGTTAAAATTGACAAAGTTGCATATAAGTACCAACACAAAAGGGACGACCTACTATGAAAATCAGGAACTTGTGAGCATACGTCCGACGCCAAGAAGCGCACCTGTCGAAGTGAAGAGGACAAAACCAAGTGTCGTTATGTTATACGCCATGCAAAAGACACCTGATAACGCTTCTTATGTTCCATATATAATAGTGTTTGCGAATGTGAAAGGACTGGGTGGGGTGACGTTTTGTTACTGATTTACACTCGCACCGCTGAATGTCTCCGGGATGTTTCATATAGTCTCCACCAGACTCCTTTGCAGCAGACTCCTTTGCAGGCTGAGTAAATCGTACAAATCGACCAAAAGGCTGGTATCACCGGCCAGAGCAGGAAAACTGGATCCTCTATGTCCAGTCAACTCCTCTGGCCAATGATACCCCCCTTTTAGGCGAATTTCTACTATGTATTCAGCCTGCAAAGGAGTCTGTTGGAGACTATGTTTCATAGGTGACAGGTGTATTATATTTCACACCTGAAGCAGACGGCTGTGAGCGAAACTAAAAGTGACGTAATCGAAACGACTGCATACATTAACATACTGATGAGCGAAAGTAAAAGTGACGTAATGGAAACGGCTACCTACATTTTCATATTGATGATCGAAACTAGTGACGTAATGGAAACGGCTACCGACATTTACATAATGATGAGCGAAACTAGTGACGTAATGGAAACGACTACCTACATTTTCATATTGACGATCGAAACTAGTGACGTAATGGAAACGGCTGCCTGTATTTATATACTAGTACTGATGATCGAAAGTAGAAGTGACGTACTCTAAGAGATGGCAGTTAACGTTGAATACCTGTCAGTCCTTGTACAGTCCTTGTATTCAGTTGAAGCAGAGTCAGACATATCGGTCATACTTCACATCACTTGACCTTGACCTTCGTTGTACCAACCCAACCTACCTACCAAATAATTCAGAAGCAAAATAACTGTACCTGGGATGAAATGATATACATTCAGCTACCAGGCCAGTTGAGATTTGTTTCATCAACTTTAGTTTTGATGAAATCAACAGAAACATTATTTTCACGCCAAAAATTAATGCACAAGATTGGGAATTTTTACGTAGGATAACCCGGTAGAATAAAAATCCGACGAAATGACTGGTGTTGGCAGAAAGGCACAAACCTTGTGTATACTCTAATCAATCGTAAAGAAAATCCTGATACCAAACTTTTGTAATTATCCACGGCGCCAGGGTTGCAAATCCGCTCACTGGACGGGCGCGGCGGAGGGATACTCGGAAAAAGTAAGGCTCAAAGCCAAAATCAAGGGCATTATAATGCCCTTGCCAAAATCAATTTTCACCCACAAATCACCAATTCTCACGCTTGTCAGCAACCATGTTAGAACATGTATCTATTTTCACTTCGCTGCAGATTATTATTATGAGAAATGTGAGCTCAAACTTGGATCCGCAAAACACTTTCGTCACTTTTCACGGTCACGCGGAAGGACTGGAGTAATGCGGAACCGAAACCATTACGTCATCGCGACAAGTTGTTTACCGTCTGCAGAAACGATCGAGCTGTGCGCAGCAGCGTTCTGGGTTGACGGTGGGTGTGGGCCTTCTCCGCTTCGTAACAATGTTATTATGTTGCGAGGACTTCGTGCCGAGCCTTCTCGCCGGCGGCCGCCGTCCCAAGCTCGCCCCTTTCTCCGACAGCGTCGGCCAAGCGAACCGCTGGCTGGGCGAACACCCGGAAGTGTTGGTGCACAGGTGCGAGACGCTCCGCGCGGCTGTCTCCCCACAACATGGCGAATACTGCGACACCCAGGTCATGTCATACCCAGCCGGGAAACCTAAGGACGTCTCACGGTTCTCACTTCGTGGTCTGAGGTAAACATTTTATGGTATCATAACGTTAAGAGCAAGCGAAGCTGCTACATTGCCCACCCCCCTCCCTCCCCGATACTTGATACCTCCCTAGCTACTTCCCTCCTTTAAAAGGACAACAACGCGTTGCAACGTTATAACGCTTTCCAATAGCTGTACTAAAAGTACACAGACACATTTGGTGCCTAGAACACTGGCAGGAATTCGAACCCCCAGGTCTTGTGATCTACCTGCCACCTATATTTCATTTCTCAGGATCTGGTACCAGAAACAGCCTGAACAGGAAAAACATCCTTCAAAACCCTCTCAGATCACTTCAATTGATGTCCTGCCAAGGGATCACGGTGACAAGGTAACAACCACTTTAATTTGTTACTTACATCAGTAACATGAGAATAAATAGTGTTCCGCTTAACCAAATTATGTGAAAATTGTCTTGTTAAGAAGTCTACATGTAACTTTATCAACCACACCATTTACGCTCATTTTGACTTGTGCCATATGGCGAGACATTGGAAAGAGCGCGATCACGGGAAAATGACGTCATGTCCCAGAGCGCATTCTGATTGGCTGAGGGCTTGTGGCTTTTGATATTTGGCCACAATCCCGACTGTTACATGTATTCTCATACCCCCCCCCCCGAATCTAAATAATGCTGAATCAGATTGATTCCTCATTAACAGGTGGAGACCTTCCAACATGTCCTGACCCGCCTGAATGGTCTGATAGCAGAGAGGAAGGGACAACAACTCCTCAACATAGAAACTCTGACAATCCCAGGAGACAAGAAAGAAATGGACTGTGAAGAAACTGTGTTGCCTATTCTGGTAGGGTGACATGTGTAAAACTCTACAAAGTTACATGTAACTAGCTATAACAATGCTACTGGCTTAGTGTTGTACTTAAGTTTGAAAGAGTTTTAGTCGTAATCATAATTACAGGATGGAAAAAATTTTATGAGATTTTCATGTCAATTTATTATACTATGAAACTGACACAGTATCACAATTCTGATTAACCTTCCTCATGCCAAGGATGCATTTGGGCACACTAGCCTGCAATTTACTTACAAGTTACTTCAAGTTACTTACAACCAGCAGGTTAAAGAAATGACAACCTTACACCTTCCTTCCAGACGCCGACCAAGTTGGTGCGGTTCCTTCGAGCCTACCTGATCTCAGTAGAAGGATCACCACTTCCTCCTGAAGTCCACTTCCAAGACTTCCTCCCCCAGCAGGTAGCCATTGGAAAGGTGTCCACTTTTTCCACCAAGTTACCCACATTCGAACCTCTGTCTGAGACCTTCACAAAGGCAAACAAGTGGTTACAGGCTTACCCTGATGTTAACCTGGTTAATGTGCAGGTTTTTGAGGTCTTACTGGATAAAGAGGCTTCATACTGTGCAAGTGACCCTCAAACATGTTTCTTTTCCGCTAAAAAGCCCCCGTTTGGATGGTTGAAGGTTGTTCGTATTTACTACAATGTCGAACAAGGAAGTGCCTCAGTTGGCAAACTGGTTGATCTGTCATTCTGTCCTGAAGTGAAGGAAAAGAAAACCCTGTTACACTATGCCCAGTATGAAGAATTGGCTGAAGTAGTGAAGAAGGTGCAGTTGAAGTGTGAGAGTGTAGGGGGCGTGCCTGCAGGTGTGCAGTCTGTCTGGACCTACCCAGACTGGGAGAGTGGGCAGGATGTGTTTCAGCCCAACACTAGCTTACACCTGGAGCCACGCCTGGATGGCACAGAGCACCTGCCACAAGTGGAAACCATCCAGGTGTGCATGATTGTGAAGTAGGCCACATAGAGTTGGTTTTACGATGATCATCCTGCATCCTGAAATGATAATTTGGTCTTGATTTCTCAATCAGCTGAACTCCATAACCTATATACATCTCTCTATATATACATGTATACAAATACAATGTATTTAATATGTTATACACACGTGTGTGTTGGTAGACATGAGCTGAAGCTATCACACATAGCTGTAGGTACTGTATAGTACATTGTATTTATTTGTTCTTTTGTTGTGAAATGCACAAAATCATGTACATGTGTTATACTTGGAATTTGATCAGATTACTAATGGTAGGTTACTTCATATCACCTAGGTTCTTTCATTAACACCTGTGATAAGGTTAAGACGAAAGTTGAAGTAAACAAAAGATTGATGCCTAGTTTCATTCATCCTGCCATTGTCTTGTCTTGAGGAAGGAGCACAGGTACTATAAGTGGCTACGTGGTTAGCCTGTTATGCAGACTTTCTAGCGGGCAGCGTTTGTTTATGTAGGAGCGGCTCAGAGAGCGAGAATGCTTCTGCAGGCCAATGACCTCTTAAGACGGTTCCATTTTTTCAAACGCGGGGGGAGGGGGTACAGGAAGGCTACCCGGATGAATTTTTATTTTCGGTTCCTTTGGAGAGGGGTTTATTTGGAGGGGTATTTGCAGGAGGCTAGAGTGTGTACCACGCAGGTACATGTAAGTACCCCTCCCATTTACCTCAAAACAAGTTCCACCAATCAGATTATGAGAAGCAATCATGAGGTGCTATGACGTATATTACATACGTGGGTGGGGGATCCCCATACTTACTATGGCAGACATATAGGGTTCACAACTACTTAAAAGACATTAGCAAAAGTGGCGATACCGAGTTGCTCTTTTGGTGACCACCGGTGTAAAAAAAGTCTATCAGAACGCTGGAAACCTACATGGCGGAGGTAGAAGTCCTCTAACCGCACGTGAGGGAGTTACAGGTGTCTCCCGCCCACTCCATGCCTCCACGCCTCCCGGAAGTAACAAGTTGGAAAAATAAAACAAAGGCGCCGGACCAGCAGCCATGACGGCACCAGGTGAGTACGACACCCGATCTGGCGACGTTACTTGTTGCAATTGTTTGAGTCATTGGGATTCTTCTCTACTCCTTAAGGGCCCTTAAGTTTGTACCCACGCTACGTTGAGACGTGAAATCATGATCACGAAACATGTACTTTCGTCTCAAATTTCTAAACTTCTATCCGTACGCATACCATTGCACAAGGGTGAGGCTGTCACGGTATGCGTGACTATGTAACCATTGCGCAGTTGAACTGTTGAACATTTTGTTAGCCTAAGGGCAGGAAAATGTAGAATAGTATGTACAAGTACTTTATAAAAGAGCACAGATTGCAACAGCGCTGGGCTTAGCACTGTAGCGCTGGGTTTAGCTGGGCTTAGCATGCACTGGGTGCTTAAAACAATACAATTATACATAACTGTAGCATACACTGGCGCCATACAAACATGTAGGTACGGCGAAATAAATAGGTACGTCATTTCCGTGTCTAGACTTTTCATGGCTTCTCTTTCATTTCCAATTCTTAAAAGTAGACAACTCTTCTTGGACACGCAAGTTATGTCAACTCATTATTTCCTTGAGTACAGTTCTTCCGCAATTAATGGTAGTGTTTGCATGTGACTTGCCATGATGGTTGTTTGAACAAGGGAGGGTGTGGGGATGTGGCGTTTATAATGTTGTACCCACGGAACTGTGATAACATATACGAACTCAACCTTTCCCTAGAAAACAATTGGTTTTGCCGTGCAGCATGGGGAACAACCCTGACGACAAAACCAAGTGAGGGTTAACATGAATAACAGCAAGGCTGATCTTTTGGGGGGTGAAATCTTGAGAGTTTTCGACTGGACCAAAGTTCAGGTTGCACGGCCTCAAGGACCCGCAAATACTCGGCATAAAATATTGATTAACATCTAATATGGCGTGTGTGATAAAACTTGGGGGCCGTGTGTGATAAACTTTGGGGGCCAGTTAGAAACCGTCAAGATTTTTGCCCCGAAGATCTGCATGGAGATTAAACAAAGGTGCGTTCAAGCTTCAAGGCGTTTATACAGATCGCAGATTCCCAGATAGAACCGGTTTTCACCAGTTTTCACACCCACACATTACGGGGAATACCCATACGTAAAATGTCACTCTGCTGTTGACTTTTAGCTGATAAATCAAGTTGTTGTCTAAGGGAAAAGGTGAAATCAAACAGATATTAGCCTGGTTGATAACGGCACGAAGGGCAAGGAGCACTGTTTATTCTGTATAGATTTATCTTTTTGGTGTTTGTGTTAGTGGTGGCGTTGATATGAGATCTCGAACTTGGTTGCACCACTGTGTGTGTACTTGTTCTTTGTACATGTACTTAAAAACAGAAAAGGGCATTCCAATGCTGCATGCCGGACATGCACAATGACATTTTACTTCTTCATTCTTGGTAATTGGTCTAGAACGATTCTCGAATTGATAACAGCTTTAACTTGCAGCTTGCACTGTCACTTTTTTTTAACCTAAGACTTATTTTAGTTTTACCAGTGTCCGTCTGTTTTGTTATCTGCTACGATATTAATTTGCACTTGAAATGTTGTTGACAATATTTTATATACATTTTATGTAATGGTTTATTTCTATTTTAATCGCTTAATATGACGTTTTATACTAATAATGTGATGCCCCAATGTCAATTCAGCCTCTGGCTGCCATTTTTGGGACAGTGTTGTTGTGTTTTAATGCAAATAAACCATTGATATAACTTATTTATGTTTGGTTGGATTCTTTATGTTACCTTATGATTAATTGCACACTTGTATATAGTGATTATTTTCTTCTTATTTATTATTGTATTTTATCCTCAGTTACTTTGTTTGTATTTGACTATGTTGGGGTTTACCCCCCAGGTATCCTTGAAAAACAAGGCGATATGTATCACCTGGATAAATAAATGAAATGATGAAATGAAACAGTGCTTGCTTTGCAACATTAAATTGCCACACAGTGATTGTGCGGAGCGAGGTCACCAGGCAGGTGGAGGTATTCCGAGGACTGGCTTTTTAGTTCTGTTGTTTTAATTACCACAGGTACAGATGCAGTAAACCTCACATGGGCGTGTATATTGTCGTTTGCTTCGTTTTAATCAATGTTACTTCTCGCTCAACGATGTTTCGCATTTGAGCCTTTTAAGGCTTTAAAAATCTCATGAATAGTTTAGTGCATTATACTTGGTTTTCTTGGTCGGTGTTTGGAGAAGCGGACACGGAATGTTAGAGTAGCCGAACAACAGCGAAACAAAATTAAAACAAAAGAACTAGATATACAAGTTGGCTATACACATTTTAATTCATGTAAAACTTTTAACCATACAACATGGCGGACAATACTACATCATGGTCACGTGTTTGCAAATACTGTAGTCATGGAAACTGTAATGACGTAACACATGATTCGTTCCCAGCCTTCCCTCCGTACGATGTCCACCTGCCGTACGAAGGAGAGGAGTGCGGGGAGTTCATGTCCTCCCGACTTATGGAGCCTTTGGCCGAGGCAGGATACCACACCTACACAACCAAGTACTACCTGCCTGGACAGGTGAGTGTTACAACACCTACACAACCAAGTACTACCTACCTGGACAGGTGCCTGATACAGCACATACACACCTGTACCTATTTTGCCTCTACTCCACACTTTACGTTGTAACTTTGACAAACAACATACATACATACATACATACATACATATTACATACACTCATTAATTCCTGGAAGAAGTAATTGTGTATATCTGATGAAACTTTGCAGCCTCTTCTTGATGAGTTCATCAAAGGTGTAGAACAGAGCAGGGTGACTGTCCTGCCGCTGTGTAAGACCTTCATGGCGTCTCAGTACTACTGGTACGTGTCGTCTTGATCTTTAAAATTCTTTGATTAATCTGTTTTGTTGTTTCATGTTCCGATGACACCTCGTTGGTGAAAGGGAAATAGATAAAATGTCAATTCCAATTGCACAGGTACGTGGAGAACAGCATCCATGACCGCAGCATCATCAGAGAAGGCTCCGCCATCTTCGTCAAGATGGAGGCGGACTGCGGACTGTGTCCGAAACTGAAGCCGTTCGGGTTTCTGGACTTCACGACGGACGCCGCGTACAAGGAAGCGTTTCCACGACTTGTACGCACGCTGGGTCCCCCATGTATGTATAACAAGCTGTACTGCTTTAGACGTCAGTATGCAGTTTGCTTTTGATGACAGGGCACCGAAAGTGCGGCTTGCTTTCCTATAGATCTGCTTGATTGCTTGATAATGTGTTTTCTTGATATTATAATGTTGTGTCAATGCATGCTCGATTTATGAGGTGCCCGGTTCGATCTATGTGTTCATGGCATTGCCTCTTGCATTACCCAGGGTTCCCTGCTATTCCCAGGCCTCGAACATAGAACCAGACTCAAATGTACATTTCCCCATACAGCCTCGGCTCCCCGACCCCAGCAGCACCTCTCTTCGCGAGCCGACGACGCCTACGACGGCAATTACGACGACGTCTTCGTCAACAAGGAGTTCGAAGAGGACGAGCAAACGCCGAGGTCAAACTTCGTGCACGCGACGAACAGGAGCTTTGACGCCATGGGCCCGCAAATACACACCGACTTTGTGGAGCCCGAAAAGACATTGCTGGCAGCTTGCAAAGGTGGGGCAATTTTTTCGTCTTTTTTTATATACAAAATCTACCAATTCTGCCTTTTGACTTATAGAGAAATTCAATTTACCTCGCACCATCTGATGACTTTACCTGATCACATTGCACAAATTAACTGAAACTATTTTTTTTCTCTGTCCAGAGTTTGAGTGGTCCGAGTGGTCTCTGAAGGCGTTCTGCCACGACCCGGATAGTTACATCCAGCGGGTACAGAAGATCACTCCGCCGCTGAGAGATGACGTGGAAAAGGCAAGAACAACTTCGTTAAATAGGCTAGGACTAACGTACCGTGTATAAACAGTTCTAGCAAGACTCTTATTCGACTGTTCATGCCATTTTATTTGTGCATGGTGTACATGTGTGTTAAGGGGAGGATACTAGTATAATGCGTTAGCAGATATTGTTTCCTACCTAATGTGAATGAAAATCTGCAACAATATACGCGTATGTTACGTACATCGTAAATCATTATTTCTAATACATGTACAGCCGCAGTTCATACGGCTAGATGCAGAAGTGAAAATGTGAGACTTGTTCCGTCCGCAGGTCCTGTTGCTGGGAATCCTCCCTCAGCAGCAGACCCACCGGGGCAGCTGCATCACCCTGGCCAAACTCAGCTGCTGCGGGCTGCCCAGGGTGGAGGAGCAGGCACTGGAGGCGCTACTGACGGTGGGTAGCAATTACCATCTCCTGGGTCAACAAAGCGTGTGTAATGTGTACTCATCAGGCCATGATGCTCTGTCATAATTAAAGAGGCGCAGTGGCAATGAAGGGTACATTTTCGGGCAAAACATTTTCTGGCGATTTTCAAAAGTGGCGACCTTTATCAACTGTGTGCCCACGGGCACCGGGCTTTATAATGGTCTAAGGCTCGGCTGACAGATTTTCCTTCCCTTTCTATCCACCCCAGATCGTTCATCAGAACATATTTCACCAAGGCACAGCCTACGCCGAGTCTAGCGGCCTGTGTGACGTCACTAGGGAGGTCCTGTATGTCCTGTCTAATAGGGAAGCCCTGAGACAGTGGACCCGGGGCACCGCCCTCCTGCGGATCCACGTGTGCTGCACCCTGCTCATCTGCCTACACGTCTCCTACGTTAACGGCGACATCGGCCTGGAATTTTCAGCCGAGGAACTGAAGACAACCCAGGCTGTCATCAGGCGCAAGTTTGACACCTTCGAAGGGACGGATCTGAGTTTCAGGTACGGCTATATCCTAAAAAAAAAACAGACCATCAGGATCAGACGGTCATTAGTGTTATGAAAAAAATTACCCATTAACTTCCAGCATTTAAGAGCACCGACCTTTTTTTTTCAAGGAATGACTCCACTACCCACCACATCTGGCACGCTACCCGACGCTAATTATGGTCATTGACTATATACCCATATCTGGTACTGTTGATGCGTCAACAGCAAATACGTTTTTTTTTCAGATGCCTTGCTGACTACTACATACATGTGATCAACGAAGCTTCCAAAAGGATTGCAAGCAAGACCGTTGGAAAGTTCAAAGAGTTAGTGATGCAGGTAAGTACACGTTATCCGAGGTTCATGATAATTGATGAATACAAACAGACTTTCGAATTCCTATATACGTATACGTGCACACAACATGTTTCCTTGCATTTTGCAGGCACGAGACGCTAGCATTAAAAACATCCCGACAACGACAAAGCAACTTGTCAAAGACATCTGCAAAGCCGAGGAGTACGACCAACAGATCGTGCTATCACATCTGGCTGACATGGCAAGTTTTCGTCATCTTGTGCCAAACATGAATCTAACATTATCTCTCTGTAAAGCAGCTGAGCATGCATTTGACTTTGCAAACCATATAACCAACCAGGGTTTATTTCTTTGCATCGATTCTGTATGTTGCATACAATATTCACCAGAAATGTGCCTATGCTATATGAACACTATCCTATTAAAGATGGCGTGGCAAATTGCTGGAAAAGTACATAAAGTGAAACAAACATTTGTAACCTTCAGTAGTCAGATGATTCTGCAAACCTGTAATAAATATAACAGTGTGAGCAGGGTGCATTGCTTTAAAACGGGTTTGTTAACTTACTAATGTCCCTTGCAGGCACATGATTCAGAGACTGCCCTGGGTATCTTCCAGCGCGTGGTGTACAAACTCACACAGACGTGCAGCGGGTCGAGAGCGGACAGACTCTTCATCATGATAGCCGACATGTTCGTCAAGATCCTGCAGACCACAAAGAGATCAGGTAAGCCATGTCCTGCATAGCCCGGGTACCATCCAGATTTTCGCTCCGCAACGCTCGATTTTTTTAGCATTGCGGAGCGAAAAACCGGATGGTACCCAGGCTATGCATTCGTGTCCTGCATGCGTGGTACATTTTATACTTTATGCATAATGACATGAGATCAGAGCAACAAGCTAAGGCAGCCAACTATCCATGAGACTATCCTGTCATTGTATCAAGGAGAATTCTCTATACGAAAGTCGACCTAGACGTCCAAGCTTGCATGAACCAATATGGTCCTTATTTGATGAAGCATGAGAAGCAATACTTTGATTTGCCAAGTCGGCGAAATCCATCACAATTTAGGACACTCGCTGTTATGTTATAAGTTAAATAACCGCCGATGGTATTGAAATGAACTTCCACGACAACCTATTCCAGATCTCTGCAGCATGGCGCTTCGTCCGCCCCCTTCGCACGGGAAGAGAAAGAAGCTGCTGGGTTTAGCCGAGGTCTGGTACGAGCGGCAGTTCAACCAGGGCAACGCCCAACATGCAGTAGAGGTCCTCTGCAGACCGCTACTACATCATCCGCAGGTCAGACCAACAAAGGCGGATCTTTTACATGCTTATAAAGTGTAGCTAAGTGCAGTTTTCACTGTAAGAAGTGTACTTATTCTAGCCTGGAATACAACCTTTTATGTATTGTTGAATGTTCGGGAGGGAAGCGATCAGAAGAGCGGACTGGTGCTTGTCGTGTGGCTATTGGCGTCAGGCAAAATCCCACTGCACTCATTGGTTAGAAATAAGCACCTAAATAAGCATGCGGAATGGCGGCACCTTGTGATAACCATCTAGTCGGAGTATCTCTCCTTTGAGGAATCCATGGTAGAGTCTACAAAGGGTTACTCCTATACAAGGATTGTGTGACTTGATGATACCGTCTCTATGTATTCTTGGCATTTAAACGCCACATGTTCTACCATGACCATGTAATTACCTTCGCCAAGAAGGTTATGTTTTCAGTAGCGTTTGTCTGTCTGTTTGTGAACAGCATAACTCAAGAAGCTTAATATGTATTGTCATGAAACTTGGTAGGTGGGTAGGTCTTGATGAGACCTAGAAATGATTAGATTCTGGGCCCCCTGGCGGCTTTTGTTGGTACTGCAGCAGAACTTCCGGTTTTGATATCTCGCGATCTGGACATGCTAGAGTCACGAATTTTGGTTGGTAGATAGCTCTTGAGGTGGGGAAGAAGTGACATGAGTTTGGGCCCCCTAGCAGCTTGTTCTGGAACTACAGGAGCGTTTCTTGAAAAAATCTCCGAAGGTTGATAACTCAAGAACCGGTTGAGGGATTGTCATGATTGTTGGTGTATGTAGGTAGCTGAAGTGATACTTGACATAATCAGATGACAATTATGCAAATCAGGAGCTAATTTGCATAATTAATGAGGACATTCTATAAATCTGCTTCGTTCGATTATAGGACTTTGAAACACTTGTGACATGTAATTGAGAACTAGAAAAACATCTGAGGATATAGATTATGTAAATGACCTAATTTACATAATTAATGGAAAATTGTTATAATTTCATAGTTGTAATTGCTGGGAATTTCATACTTGCCGTATTTGGAAGTTAAGTGAAGGTGAACATCAATGAAGATAATTTATTCACATTATGAACTCATTTGCATAATTTATAGTTGTGTGTCCTTCCAGCCTGAAGTGCGTGGGACCATGGCTCGCCGTCTAGCAATGCGCCAGGGAGAGCGTGAGGACGGAATTGAGTGGGAGGATCTCGTTCCTATTGAGGTAGGAAGATCGATGTCTCAAATTTTAGCTACTTTTAGAGGGAAAGAGAGACAGAGAGAAAGAGACTAGAATGAACATGACGTTTAAAGTCTGATGATGTCCAACCTCTCCATTAGGCTAAACACATCAGTGACCAGTACAAAATGTTGGGCCTGCGCATTGTCACCCACCAGCCAACGCCCTGTCAAGACCTGGAGGGTCACGTGGTCTGGAAGGGAACCACGACGCACGGGAACGTAGCTGTCAAGGTGTGTGTTAATTTCAGTCTTGTTACAATTGACATGTAATGATGACTGCAACTTCCGTCAGGATTAATGACCCGCAGTTGCAGACAGAGATTATGATCCCGACCTATCGGTAAACTCGCCGATTCTTCCAGATCGCATTCTCTACACAAACACATCTGAAGATTCATATACAATGTACATTTGTAAATAGGAATTATCAATGTTGAAGCTGACACATGGAAATGATACAGCGTATAAGAACATTACTTTCACACTCAACTATCACACCTATTTTCCCAGGTGTACAAGTTGAATTCCATGAAAGAGTTGATGGGCGATGCGGACATGTCGGCAGGGGCAGGGATCGTGAGGAACAACGTGCGCATGTTGGGAGAGCTGAGCGGCAGTCCGAACATCTTGCAGCTGCTGGCCTACCAGCTCCGGCCTCAGCCTGTCTTCCACATCACGGAGTTCATGGAGGAGGTGAGCGTAGCGCCAGGGTCTGTTATGTGTGTTTCCTGCCATTGCCAATCATTGTGAATCCAAAGGATCCCAATATTTCATTTCCATCTAGCTGGTTATAGGTGCCAATGATTGTTTACTTTCATTCTTCTTAACCATTGAATTACAATTCTCTGAAGAAGTAGGAAGATCTTGCTGTCTGCAAATGAAATGAGCTTCGATATCAAAATTGGTGTGAAATTGTGGCGTGGTGATAGACTACATTTGGTCTTACCTAACATCAGTGCATATTGGGAACCATATAGCAAGTTCGTTTCCCCAAAGTCTTACAAAAATTCTACCACTTCTGGCAAAAGTCATCCATCCCTATTGACATATTCGTCATGCTTCAGGGCAATCTTTTGGACTTCCTGCTTCGGAAACGTCAAGACCACCAGCACACCCGGTCGTCCCTCCTCTACCTGCGGACTCTGCTGACCCTCCTGCTGGACATGGTGGCCGCTCT